ATTAAAAAAAAAATGTGTTAGTATAAGGGGCCGGGGAGATGGCTTAGTAGGATAAGCACTTGACTGGCAAACGCAAGGATCTGAGTTCAATCCCCGGTTCCGAAAAAAAAAAAAAAAAAAATGTGTTAGCATAGGGTATCACTGTGTAGATTGGACTCAGTGATTCTCCTTTTTTCAGCCTCCCAAGCGCTGGGATTACAGGAGCGTGCCACCACACCCAGTTTCAATTGCAGTCTCCATGCACCCCAGGAGCAGGGCTGGCATAGCACGCTGGTACATTTTATTTATTTATTTATCTATCTATTTATTTATTTTGCTCCGAATGCCTTCAGGGCAGGTTTGGCTGGCTTGAGTTGTGGGGATCAAACCACAGCAACTTGAGCCTGACTGCTTTGTTGAAGCAGCCACTTAAAGAACTGAGCTACGGGGCAGGCCCCCCATTTTATTTATTTTTAATCTTTATTTGGTGCAGAGTCTTGTGATGCAGCTTGGACTCGTAGTGACCCTCTTGTCTCCGCTACCCAGCGCTGGGATTACAGGCATGTGCCCCTAAGCCTGGTTTTGTGGCTGGCATGCCACGCCGGGGGTTCCGGGGCCAGCACAGCATGTGGTACCAGGGGTCCAACCCAGGTCCTTGCGTTTGCCAGGCGGGCATTCAGACTCAGCTATCTCCCCAGGCCCAGCCCTTACATTTTATTTATTTATTTATTTATTTATTTATTTATTTATTTTTTGGAACTGGGGATTGAACTCAGGCCCTTGCGCTTGCCAGGGAAGCGCTTATTCCACTGAGCCATCTGCCCGGCCCCTATTTATCTATTTTTAAATTTAAACATTTTTATTTTACAGATGAAGAAACTCAGCTCTGTGAAATAGCTATGATGACTAGCCCATCTGGCTCTCCCAGAAGCCTTTGGTGTTTGCTTGCCTATTTATTTATTTCAAGATCTTGCTGTTGTCCAAGCTGGTCTCAAATCCCTGGACTTAAGTGATCCTCTGGAATACCTGGGTTTACAGGCTTGCCCCAGGAGCCTCGCCTTCCGGGTTATTGTTGTTGATTCTTTTTCTTTTCTTTTCTTTCTTTTTTCTTTTTCTTTTTTTTTTTTTTTTTGAGGAACCGGACTCAGACCCTTGTGCTTGCCAGGGAAGCACTTATTCCACTGAGCCATCTCCCTGGCCCCTTGTTGATTCTTTTGGCAACTTTTGGACCTCAGTCAGGGTGTGAGAAAGTAAGAGAAAGGGCTTTGACCCAGTGACAGGAGCAGTGAGCACTTGCTGAGTTCGTAGTGTGATCTGCAGATTGTATTTCATTTGTAGTTCTCAGAGCAATTGAGAATGATTTTCAGCTGTGCACTGGTGGGCTGCAAGGCTCTGCAGGAGATGGGCTGTTCCTGCCCGAGACCTCAGCGATTCCAGGGCTGTTGTGTAGGATACCAGGCTGACAGCTCTTATTGGGACTTGGCCTAATCCTACATATATGGCCCGGAGATCACACAAGTGACTAATTTGCCCTGGAACCAACCTGAGGTCTGAGGACAGAACGGACAAAAACGGTTCTCCGGGCTCCAAGGGCCTGCAGAAGGCTTTGGGGCTTTCACTTAGGGAACACCCACTTCACGGACAGAAGAGGGCAAAATCCTTGTAAGGAAGTAGAACCGAGGGGCTGGTGAGATGGCTCAGTGGTCTAAAGCACCTACTTAGAACAAGCTTAGCAAAGCACAGGGACCGTGGTTCAATCCCCCAGCACCACATGCCAGCCCGCCCTGCCCCTTGGTGGGCTGAGCTGGCCACACACACACACACACGCAAAAATAAATAATTTAAAAAAAAAAAAAGGAAGTAGAACCGAAAGCTTGGGAAGGATCGAAGCGTGTACATGTAACTTTTCTCACATAGAATAGCGTAAAAAAAGGGCCAGGGCCGGGGAGATGGCTCAGTGGAATAAGCGCTTCCCTGGCAAGCGCAAGGGCCTGAGTTCAATGCCAGGTCGGGGTGCCCGCAGCTCCCCAGTCGCCTGAAAGCTGCCCCGCCCCTGCCTGGAAGGGCGCTGGCCCGTCCCGGGGGCGCATAACAGCACGTTCTCCAGGCCTCGCGCTGCATCCAGCTGGTCTGTCGGGGCTTCAGGCTCCTCACACGCTGCCATCCAGAAGGGAGACTTTGTTTTTTTTTTTTTTTTT